TAATAATTAGATTGTGAATTTCTTTCTCATGGTGAACAGGAGCTATGATCCCTGTGTGGACTTCAACTCCCAGAATCCCCCAGCCCGGTTGAATTAAAGAGCTTGGGCCTAGCCTCCCGTTCCCTGCAGGGAGAAAAGTAGCACATCAGGAAAGCAAAGAGGCTATCACCTTTTGCCTGGTCTTTGTAGATTTCCGCCTGCGGGGAATTTGGGGAAGGGTGGCTATGTCCCATTTGGGGGTCCTCATCCGGGCTACCCACCCCCACCCCGGAGATTTACCATTTGAAAGCCACGTAGGCGAGGAGTCCCACCACCACGGCCGCCAGGATGGAGCAGTAGACCGGGATGATGTTGTTCTGCTGGCCGTCCACCAGCGGGGGAACAAACTCGGAGGACGAATTGGGGGAATCGCTGCCTTCCGCCCGCAGGGGTGGCGTCCTTCTCGGGGGCTCTTTCCAGGGCCCCCCCTCGGTGCGCTTCAGGATCTGCAGCTCTTTATCTGTGCAAATCAATCGCCCCCCAAGAAAGTTAAAAAGAGGGAAGCGAAGCCCCGATGCCCTCGAAGCCAGCTGGGGGCACGCCTCGGGGTCATCTCAGAAGATGCAAGGGGAGGAGAGCGACTGGCACCCCCAGACGACTTCTGCCAACCAAAAAGACCAAGTCGGAAGGAACGAGCGTTTGCAAAAAGCAGACGAGGCGGGGGAAGAGAAAAACATCAGGAATTAATCGCCTTCCCCGATTTTTGCACTACCCCCTCCCGCGCATCTGGTGCTCATGTGTCTGAACACGGAGGAGACATTAGCGAGTTCCTGGCTGGGACAGAAGCCCCGAAATCTCCAGGAATCTGCTTTGTGGCAGCCCAAGAAGGCGCTTTCTCAAGGGCCCTGACGGCAGAATTCCCGCCCTGCCCCAATAAGGATAGCGCCCAAGTTTCATCGCTCTCGGCATTTATTCGTTCGTTTGTTACCTGGATCTATAAGGCCGCCCAACTCCAACAACGCGACTTATTTCAGTTGCGCACCCACCACTGTCCCGCTTCTAAGTTTCGCAATTCCACATGATGTTATTGGTTGGCTTTCTTGCACCCTGTGGGCGGATCTCTGAAGCCCAAGAGAGCCAGACCTAGTTCATCCCGGGATGGGAGGCCACCAGGACACCCCGGCATTGCAAATTAGACTTGGGTTGTCCTAAACACAGCCAAACCTCTTTGGATGGCTGCCAAGAAAACTCCATGGAGGGGTCAATGAGTTAAAAGGCCTGAGTTTATCTCAAAGAAGATTTTAGCATCGCTTTTTAATTGGATGGATTGATGACATGTTTGACCTGCTAAAAGTAGACTCAACTTTTTATCCGTCAATCAAAGGAATAAACTTGATTCTAAAGCAGGGTTCCTTCCTCCTTGCACGGCTGGCTGGGGAATTTTGGGAGTTGAAGTCCACTCGTCTTAAAGTTGCCAAGGGTGAGGAACCCTGATCTAAATAACGTCCAACGCAGGCAGGAATTCCTGCACTTTCAAACAAGAATTGCAGATGGGTGTGAACAGTGTACTTTCACAGAAGCCTTGCACAGAAGCCTTGCAAAACAGAGTGGGGAATTACCGCCTTTTCTCTCTCTTTGCCCCTCCTCATGTGCAGTTCTGCAACACTGCCCTACACGGCACATCTCTTTTACGATTTTGCACGCGGAAAAAAATGCATGGCTAAGATGGGGTTGGCTCGGCCGAGGTTTCTTTTTTGCCCCGTTCCAGCGGAAGCTGACCGGGTGTCGAGATGAAATGAGGTCATATATTTGCAGAAATGGGGAAATGGGAGGAAAATCATCTTCCCCATCTTCAAACGCGCTGATATGCCAGGACCATGAGCTGTACGCAAGAAGACGCTTATTAACGGGGAAACTATTTCAGCTGTCTCTTTTGCGGAGCTGGGTTTTGCAAACTTCCAGACTGAACTGATGCTCTCCAGATGAGCACACATCAACAATTCCTCATTGTCCCCAGCCCCTGAGACCTCAGTTCCATGTGCCTTCCTGAACAGGGCAACGTAGCAAAACGTAGCGCGTTGCAATCTTCAGTGCAGGAGAAAGCTAAAAAAAAATCAGTATGCATCTGCCTGGAGAATAATTGTATGAATGACTCTCCTATTTCGGCAATGTAAATGTCAATCAGATGTAGGCTTTCTCTTGGCTCCGCCCACTCTCTTTTAGAGACAGCCCCCCAGCCCACCCCAAGCCCAGCATACAGCATTATGCAGAAATGAAGTGTGGCTTTCTGCTTGGAAAACATCGAGCGCTGCTGGTTTTGATTTTTAAAAAGGAAGATGATTAAATACTGGCAGAGCAATCAGATTAGCTGGATGTAATTAAGGAGGGTTTTAGCTCTGTTAAAATTAAATTAATTCAGCTTTTGCTTGGGCTGTAGAGGTGCCACCGAGCAACCTACCTGTCTGCAGAGCTTGGGCTGAACCCAGAGGCTGGGCAGCTTCAAAAACCATAGGGTCTTTCAGCCAAGAGGAGGTTTGGCTGCCAATATCTGATTTTTCTTTAGAGGACTAATTAAAAAACACGTTAAATGAAGCCTCCAGGACCGTTTGGATGTCCCTGTGGGTCCCCGGGGCACGGACAGCTGTCCGTCAGGGCCTGCTGAATTTGAAAGGGTGCCCAAAAAGAAGCTGAACGGGATAGAGGGATGGCCCAGAGCGATTCACCCATCCGCTTTCTGGGAATACAGCTCTGCAGCCATTTTGTGAGAGTGCCCACAAGAGGGCCTCAACGTTCCGCATGTGCCCATTGGCACTGGCAAAAAAAAAATCTCCCTCCTTCCCATTTGCATGGCAGTTGCAAAAGGGGATCCTCTTCTGTTAAATTAGGGGAAGGATGGAAGAGCAGAAGAAAAGCTACGTGGCGCTGTGGGAGAAGATGCAAACTTCATACCCAACCAGAGTTCCTCTAGCACAGTGTTTTGCAAGCTTGGAAACTTGAAGATGGGTGGACTTCAACTCCCAGAATTCCCCAGCCAGCCATGGTTGAAGTCCACCCATCTTCAAGTTCCCAAGCTTGCAAAACACTGGCTGAAAGGCATGACTTTCGGAAGGCCGCTGGGAGGAGGAAAAGCAGACTCTGCGTGTTTGCAGGGTGTGTGTGTGTGTAATTAAGAAGAGAAAAAAACTGCTTCTGTCGCAGAATTGCATCTCTCCTGCAGCTGGTTGATCCTCTTTCCCATTGCTGAGAGCAGACACTTCCCCCATTGTGCTGTTCTCTCTTTCCCCCAAAGCAAACATTGCCTCCGCGGTCTCCTTTCAAGGCTTATTCACCCCCACTTTCTCCTCCCTCCCCCAGCTGCACACCACCGGGAAAAAGGTAGAGGATGAGAGAGGGCAGAGCTGATAAATGGGGGCGGAGGGGGGGGTCTGGCAACCAAATTGCTACTGACTCACCCCCCCCGGCCCCACCCTTCCCCAGGGCCACCCCGGTCCCTGAATACAGGGTGGATCGGGGAGCCCTCAGCCTTTTCTGCCCCCCACCCTCTGCCTGCCAAGGAGGATTAGAGAGAAGGACATGGAACAAAAGGAAGATTATGAAGATTGCGAACAACTGCAGGAGTCTAGCCAACAAACACCCACCCACAAAACTCATCCTAAAATAGCTGGGGCACTAAAAGCAGCGCCTGGGGAGAGCAAGGGAGAGGAACAGGAAGAAAAAGACTTAAGTTCAAGATGCCTTGGGATTTCTCTGGGGCTGAGGCTGGTATCAAGGGAACAAAGCCGGCAGTTGGACTCAGTGGGGTCTGCCAATGTTTGGGGCCCGTTGCACCAAGGTCTTTGGCGTGCAAGCGAGACCAACACAAGCAGGCCAAGAGTAGCTGGGGGTTTGCAGCAAAACGTGGTGGGATAACCCCCAAAGCACAAGTTGGCATTGATCTGCAAATAAATGCATAGATACGTCTATTTATAAATCTATAAACACACAAGTATCTGTGCATACGCCTACTCGAAAAGACCAAGACTAAATTCACGCCTGGCTTGGTTAAGCCACACTTAGCTGGGTTCACACCATCTGCTCTGCCTGAACTGGATTGTGGCCCCACGTGGTGCCGTCATCAAGGCTGAGAAGTTTCTTGCATTTCAAAGGCTTTCCCCAGACTAGGGCCCTCCAGATGTTTAGCTCACCAGCTGCCACTTTGGAGAGCTGTTTCTTGGTCATCCTAATGTTCATCTTGCCGGGAGTTCAGAATCCAGCCTGTTTTGCAGACCTGGATATGCCAGATCCTGTAAACCTGGCAGAATCTTGATTTCTTTATTTTAAAACATTCTCTACTTGTCTCAACATGGCTTACGCATGACCTAAAAGGAAACTGCTAAAGGCGGCCTAGAGGACATGTACAGAGGAAAAGCAGAGAGCAGAAATGGGTTTTGTTTAAACATTCCATTGCAGCATAAACACCAAACATGAATATATTAAAAGCCAGGAAAAATAAAAGAGTTTTTGCCTGGTACAAATCTTGCGTATGTCAAACCTGACAGATTTCCTGCCAGGTTCCAGACATGCCCCACCAGCATCCTGCAATCTTTGGGGACAAGATCGCACTGCTGTGGGCAGAGGCAATTGCACACTTGGGCAGCATCGCAGCAGAATGGCATCTGCAGAGTCCACTGGATCATGGCAGGGCAGCCCATGCCCCCCACCTGTTCAATTCTCGAGTGACCACCGCTTAGCCCTTCCCCACGGCGCACCTACATACCCATGCAGAGAGTGTCTGATAGTGGGGTGCACGGCTGGATCATGACTTCATTCTTGCCACATTCCTGTCGGCAGAGAAGGCACGGTTCGGAAGAGCTCTTCACCTCCGAATAATAGCCATCTGGGCACTCTTGGCAGGCCGTGTCCGTGCTGGGCCCGCACGCCTTTATAGCTCCAAAGCCTTCTTGGCACGTTTGGCAAGGCACACAGGGCCCCTGAGGCTGGCTCCCGTTTCCTGGGGCAAGGTAATGCCCGCGGGGACAGCTGGTGGCACAGAGAGTGTCACGGGCCGGAGTGCAAGAACCCAGCAGGGGAAGATGGCTCGGGCACGAGGAGCAAGGCTGGCAAGGGTCAGTGGCACTGGCCGTGGAGGAGAACGTCACACCTGTTGGGAGAGAAGCCCCAGTTATGGCGTTTTATGGTGCCCGTCCAGATTTGGAAGAAACCTCCACCTGGTTCCCAGCATTTCTGACTTTGTCCCACAGAATGAACCAGCAGTGCCCTGAATAAGTTGCGTTTGCACAACACACAGAGGAAAACTAACCAAGGCTAATCCTAAATTGGAGGGGGGGGTGTCAAAAAAGTCAAGAGAGTTGCTGTGGATGGTGTCGGTTCCCCCTTCCCACCGAATGCCCTTGCCTCAGAGTTGTTCACTGACCTGCGATTAAATCTATGCCAAGAAGGAAGATCAATTTTCAGATCAAACCTCTGGACAGGGTTTGTGTTGAGACAACCGTGCTCAAACCTACTTTACAAGTGATATCTTGATTTTGTGCAACTCAGTGCGACGGGCTTCACGTAAAACACATCCCATTTCCTTGGTGATTTATGTCATTTGCCCAACGCACCATGCAAATCGCCACGATGACCTATTTTTGCACGGGGCAAAAATAGTGGACAGTCCTTCACCCAATTAGTGTGTTCAACTTAGGTTCTGCTGTATTTCACTTGGTCTGTGCGTGTTCTCAGTGGGGGTCGATGGGAATTGTATTTCACCAATCATTAGTGCAGGATGTCTGGATATGTCCATAAATGTCCTCACCCCTAACCAGCATCCTTGGATGAAATAACCGGAAATTTCAGATTGATTAAACTAGGTGTCATCCTTACCTTTCTACAGGGGTTTAAACACGGCCACCCACAGCAGGATAAGGGGTTCAAATGGTGAGAGGGCCACGATTCAAGCTTTGCACCTTTTCGATGTGCCTTGCAACACGTGCTCAGATGTAAAGACTGGAGATTAAGTTGTAATGTTGCAAGGTGTATATCAGTGTTTCTCAACCTTGGCAACTTGAAGATGGGTGGACTTCAACTCCCAGAATTC